GACAATGGTTTGCAAATCTGAATTGCATATTCATTGACTGAGTCAAAATTCCTAGCCAAGATGCTATTCTTCAAAACTGAGAGAACAAAATAATTATCTTTTAAAATAAGCTTATATAACCAGACCAGAGAAGGATACAGACAGAGCCTAAGTAGCAGCTGAATAGGTAGCTCTGAGCTGGTAGGAAAATTGTTTCAGCCGAGACTGCTACAGAGCAAGAGTGCAAGAAGGGGGAAAAAAATTACCAACTGAATTCCTGAAATCAAAAGCATGGTACAGAACATCTACTAAACAGGCTTAGCACATGATAGTACTTGAAGGCTTGTTTGTTTGTTTCCTGTATCAGATTACCTACTGCAGATTGGAGGTGTCTTCCTTTTGAAACCCAAATATAAGATTTTGTTTAGAGCATTGTAAACCCTTGGTTGCTTCTGAGAAATTCTCATGAGTAACACCCCCCAGCATTTTGTAGATGACAATAAGAGACTCATCTGCATCAGTGCTTGGAATTGGGAGCAGAGTTGGTTTCAGACTCCAGGTGAAGGATCACATGATTTACATGCTCCTCTGTCCAAAAATATTCCCTATTAGGGGTTAGGGGGGAAGGGTTCTAACCTAGCCTTCTTTCTGACCCTCATTCCCTATTAGGGGTTAGGGGGGGTTCTAACCTAGCCTTCTTTCTGACCCATCTGGTTTTCTATGTGTAGCTGGTCTGGCAGACAACAGCAAGGCCAATAATACTGCAGACTCAAATGTGTTCCAGGCAGAAAGCAGGAACTGAAAATGGGTGCCACCAGCTAGTTTCAGATGACAAAAATAATAAAGAAAGCCAAAAACTGCAGCAATACCTATACAACTTTGGTACCTTTAGGAGACATTGGTCCCATTTTACAGCTAAGGAACATCGAGACAAAGAAACAGGTGATTAAACAAATTCCAGTCAGTGAATCTGTGAAAGATAATTCTAATGGCATGGGAAAGGAAATGCTATACTTGAGTAAGGAAAACATGCTAAGTATATGCTTAGAAGCACTATTATATTTCTGCTTAAAAATTAAGAAGAAACATTTACAGACCATCAGTGCATCTTCCACACACTGTAACATTCCAGTACATCTCTACCTGACCCCATCTCTGATACTGGCAAGCTACAACCACAGAACACAGGGCTCTTATTCACACAACTATCTATTCTTCATAATCCTCTTCCTTGCAGCAGCAAAACCAATACAGGTTCTTGTTTCACAACTTCCCTCTTCCCATTATAAGCATTGCATTTCCCTTTCATAGGCATAATTTGCATCATGATGCATTAAGATGCAGAACATGAGACTGTTTTCACTATCAGCTAGGTCCTGGAACATGGAGGAAAGAGTATCTTAGCATGTACACACTGACTTTCCCCCACTGTTGAATAACTCCAGCTACCCATGTCCTCAAACACTAAGGCTACATCTACACAGAGGCAAGAACGCAGACGCATTTGCACTGGCAATGGAATGTCCTCGTGGTTTTTTTGTGCATATTCTTCTCCACTATCTACTATTTCCTATGCATTATACCTCTGCCACACCACCAGAGTTCTTCTGGTTGGTTTTTTTAAAAAAGAAAAAAGGTAATTGCTATTGCACAATATATAGCAATTATAATGATCTACTAGTAACTCTGAACTCAAAAGTCCTCCATTGGCACAGTAGGGAAAATGGCAGCTGTGATGGCCTGTCAGAAAGAAAGTGGTGCCAGTGTGGATAGGACCTTCAAAATGATGCACCTTCCTAATATGCTTCGTTTGCATTCTTTCCACAAAGATCATGCCAAACCACATTTCAGAAAGTATGAACAGAAGATGGGGAGAGCCTGTAAAGTGGAAGATTAATGGACAATGTTACTTGGATGTACCAACACCCCTAATGGAATTTGAAAGCCAAGGTGCAGAAAAACCTCCATGTGGGTGCAGCCTAAGAATTCAGAGTCATGTTGCCTCCCCTGACATACTTAGCCCAGAGCTTTCAGTATATATAGTCTTTTCTCACCTCAAGAATATCCACTCCTGGTTTCCTCTTCCCCCCACAACCTCCAACTTCCCTCAGTTCAGCAACCCAATTTACAAAATAAGATGTATTAAATAAAAAATAACTCTGTTACAGTCTTTTCTCACCTCAGGAATATCCACTCCTGGTTTCCTCTTCCCCCCACAACCTCCAACTTCCCTCAGTTCAGCAACCCAATTTACAAAATAAGATGTATTAAATAAAAAATAACTCTGTAGCACAGTGGAAGAAGGCACTTTGTGCTACCCTTTGATTTAGTTTATCAATAAATGCAGGAAGAAGGTTGAGAGCTGAACTTTTATATTTCCAAACTGCAATTGCCTTCTATTTTCTGAATCTCAGTGGCTGGCCAGTAATAAAAGAACCAGCCAGAACCAGCCAGTAATAAAAGCATCTAATTTTTAATCTAGCACTGAAGCTTCAGGGAGAAAAATGCCGAAAGAGAAAAATTAGCATGCCATTTAAAACATAACAAGAACTATGGCAGTTTATTTGCTTACTTCAATGCGAACTTAAGAACCGTGTGCTCAACAATTATAGTTTGAGGCATTTCCATAAGGCAAAATACAGCAGGGATAGTGGTATAAACAGAATTTCTGTAAGCAGCTACCTTGCAATACCTACTTCTTGGACTTCAACTTCAGCTAATGTAAGCACATATAATGCAAAGAACGTTGCTGCTTCTTTACAGCTAGAAAAATTAGAGAGAAAAATCTTCCCCTACAACAGGGCTCTAGAAATCATGGCTGTCCTGCCTGCATTGGGTCATGGAATATCAATGTTTTGTAATCTGAACTGGCTTGCTAAAAACTTGCTCTTATCTATGCCTCAAATTGTTACACTACTCTGCCTTTTGCAAAGAGACAGTGTTTGGTTAGAGTGCCAAGTGGGAATGGGAGATGGTAAGTTCTGCATGCCCTAAACACAAGAGCAGAGATACACCACAAGATGTTTTGAAGATCGCATGGAATTGGAACACTGCTGAGCTGGCACTTGCCTTCTCCAGCCACATGGAAGGGAGGCGCAAGCCACACAAACATGGCTCTGCTGGGCCACATACTGTGCAGTCATGCCCTAAACCTTTGTCCTCATATATTTTACTATTTTGATGGGCTTATACAACCTTGCAACCATACTAAAGGGACAGAGCTGTTCACCTCATCTTTCATGATGTCTCAACAGATACTAGGGAGAATCCCTCCTTTAACTTCTCTCTCCCCAACTTAACCCAAACTCTCACATGGTACTCCTGTTCCAGTGGTGGAGCAATCAGAAGCTTCCTTTTTGTATCAGGAATCAGGGCAAACTCTCATATTCTGCTGCCACGATGCAGGGCAGCAGAACACGGAGAGACAAAGAAACCACATTCCAATTAGGTAGTTTCAGAAGGTAGCTGTGCTGGTCTGCGGTAGAAGAGCTAGATTCAAGTGTCTGGCTTTCTTCATTCACTTTGTCACCTGAAGCCAGCTAGTGGCATGCTTTTTCAGTTCCTGCTTTCTATCCATTCTTCTGCGTTTAATTTTGGTAATTAGATAATGCACATAATAGCTTTTCTGGAAAGTTAAAAAACATACACTGCCATGTTAAAAAAGCATACATTGCCATACATTACTCATTTTTCTACAGTGGATAGTTTTATTTCTACACTATCCTCAACGCATTCAAAATCTAGTTTCATAGCCAGTACACATGTTCCTTTAAGCCGAATCAAAGTGACAAGTTTCCACGATAACTTTAAACAGAAAAAAAACGAGTCAAAGATGAATGAGTGGAAGGTTGCATGTTTCATTCAGCATATTCTAGTTTTCATCGAAAACATTACCATCAAATAACAATCTCAATAAATTAGACTATGTAGCACAGCCAACTTTATGTATCAAACTTTAGGAGCCAAATTGTCAGGCAAAATGCTCTCAGTGGATTTTCTCATTTAGCTAATCTCCACTATCTTTTCCACTTTTACTTCTCTTCTTCTACTGCCAAATTTAGTTTGGGGAGTTGAGCCTACATTTTGTACTTACTATCTGTAAGCATAGGGCTTACAGATGCTGCTATGCAAATAAAAGGAAACAAAGAAGGCGGGGATACAAACAAGTTAGACTTCCACAAATGTTTTTCGATGTCTCCTCATTATCACAGCTTTTCACACTCCTAAAAAGCTAGGGGACATTCAGTATAGCATTGGATATTATGTGAGGGGCTTCAATCAGAAATCAGTAAAACTCCATATGGGTGCATAAGTATTTTTAAGGTATACTTGGGGCTATGAGTACCCCAGCTGATAAATTCACAAGGGCTCTTTGAAGCATTCAACTGTTACTTTCATTAAACACATTTACTTGGAATCAAGTTCTACAACAATTAAAGATATGTCTATATAAATATGTCTGAGAACAGGACACTCCATTTCTTTGGAATCACAATAGTCTAAGAACAAATTTACAGATGAACATACTGCTCAATGAAGGCCAACAAATGATGAGTTGCATATATCAAAACAGCTATCACACATACAGCACGATATTTTCAAGAGAGGCCATTCACATGTTCAGCTGTGCATCAAGCAACATGATACCAATGGGTTTACATGTATATGTGAAATAACTCCAAGATTCAATAGCAAACGCTAGAGAAGAAATTGTGTCAACTCTGCAGTGGCAAAAACAGAAAAAGGGTGCAGCAGCATATTAGAAGTGATCTGGAGGGTATTTGTTAAAGTCACTATTGCCCATGAAAGTCACACCACAAAGAACTAGTTAGTTTGTAAAGTGCTGGTGCTAGAGAAGAAAGGTGGCATACGCAATGTTTCTTTGGTTGTTGAGAATAACATAGTTATGCCAACCTTTTAACTAAGAGACCTCCCCTTTAACTAAGAGACAACCCCCCCCCATTTCCCACACACACACAGAGTTTTTCATAATTCAGGAATAACTGGTTACCCCTCCATTTCCCACACACATACACACAGTTTTTCATAATTCAGGAATAACTGGTTAAAATGCAGGATTGTTTCACCGTTTTATTCACCTACCATACCATCTCCAATACCCAGTTTGGCAACCCACATATGCACAAATTCTTTGTAAATACATGCTGGATGGGTTTTGTTCATGATCGAGATGTAACTGATTATCATTTTCTGAGTAGAAGGAAATCTCCCCCCACCAAACTTCCCCAATAAACTGGCTAAAGAGTTGAATGTTTTCCCTTAAAATCTGGAACTGCTGGGGAGGGGGACACAACATACAATTATGTTTTAACAATTTTCCTTAAAAACATACGTTGGTTTTCATGTGGTGCAGTACTTAAAATAGTGTTTCTCACTTTTTGCAATAATAATGCAGCCCTTCAATTTATTCTGGATGTCTGTTTAAGAGTATTTATATACTGTGTAATGGTCCCTTTAACACACAACAGAAGCAAGTACTTGCATGTTTACTCTAGGGGACAGGCAAACTCCAAAACCTCTTCATGACATTCATAAATGACCAGTTTTTGCACTGCAACATCACAGTAGGAAAAAGAGGGGCCATCCCAGTACATCATAAAACAAACAAATGGCAAGGATTTCTACACACGAGAATGAATTGCTTATAAAAAGGCAAACAATCTTAACAAAAAAAATACACTGACTGCATAGATGCATGCATGAGTTCAGAAAAATTCCTCCATAACATACTTTTGCTTACTCCACCTACCCCCTCCCCCAAATAAAAGCATTAAAATGCACATTCAGAGAAAGAGTCACATTCAGGTGTAAAGCTGAGGCAAGAATTCACAAGCCTGCTTCTTCTATGGGAAAGCATACAAAATTAGTGAGAGATGAAGAGCAAAAGGCCTCAAGAAAAGAGTGCTATGCATAAAAACAATTGCTTCTACATTTTACAGTACTGAGAATTCCAGTAAGATACACCAATATGGCAAATGTCTGTTACCACACATTTCAGAAAGAGGATATACATTCAACAACATCTACAATGGCTTTCTTTTTTGTGAATCTGTACTAGTTATGTGTATATTTCAGAAGTCTGACAAAGGATCCATGAACTCATCTGTTCATGAGTTATTTAACTGCTCACCTGATATAGGTCATAACAGAAATCGGTTACAGTAATATGCATATTGTGTTGCCTCTGAAATACAAAGTTGCTTTCATTTTATAATATTAAGCAGACAGTCTTATTGCAACTGAGTAAAATCACAGGCATTACTTTAAAGGAACATGCAGAACATGGAGTTTTTCTACTTGGTTCCGTACACTTACAAGCAACTCAGGACCAACAGAAGCAAAAGTTTCTTTGCCAATGTTGTATCTGCAAAACTGATCACCGGCATCCTTCAAGTGTTCCTGTCAGGGCGTCAAGACTGCTGTCTGTATCTGAAGCCAAAGTTTGTTCTGTTGACATGGATGAAATGTCGTTGATAGATGATGATTGGGAAGGGCTGGTGTTGCTATTCACTGCTGCATCTGTGCTAAGTAAACCAAGCATAAGAAAATCTGAGGCAAGACATGGTTAAGTACACATCTGATATTTTTAAGATCCATAATAAATTCCACCTCCCAATGCAATGGCTTATTGCTTTATTGATTAAGGGAATAACTATGAAGACAGTATGCAATACTGAAAGATTTTCCCTCCAGAGCAAACAGGTGTGCAGCTTCCAGTACATATAGAAAGCAAAAGAAGAAGAATTATAATTATATCCTGCCCTTCACTCAGGGTCTCAGAGCGGCTTATAAACTCCTTTCCCTTCCTCTCCCCACAACAGACACCCTGTGAGGTAGGTGGGGCTGAGAGAGTTCTGACAGAATAGCTCTGAGAGAACTGTGACTGACCCAGGGTCACTCAGTTGGTTTATATGGAGGAGTGGGGAATCAAATCCAATTATCTAGATTAGAGACTGTTGTGGGGAGAGGAAGGGAAGGAGATTGTAAACCGCTTTGAGACTCCTTAGGGTAGAGAAAAGCGGGGTATAAAAATCAACTCTTCCTCTTCTTTCATACCCATACATAGTAATGGGGAATACTATAGTATGAATTATCTTGATCTCTGTCCCCAGCAACGTGTTCTAACACTTAAGGGATCTTTTCTAGCTCCTTCACAGCTGCCCTTCCCAGACTCCTTCTGATTTCATGGTTACTCTCTCCCTTTTGGTTGATGAGTAACATGCCACATGTTGCTATTCTGAACAATGTTCCCCATTTTTCAAGACAGTAGACATGACTCTTGCTTGGTGGGAACTGGGGCTGTCCCCCTGAGCCACTGCTGGAAGAACAGGTAATCTGAGAGTCTCCCTGGGGTGCAGACACTATGCTAGGGATGGAAATTAATGTGGCTCTTTGGGTTGATGGTAATTGTGAATGTGGCTCTGTGACCTGCAGAGTGAGTACCGCTGCCTTAAAATGAGGCTTATGTGCAACCTTTTCAGAGGGTTTTGTTATCTGATGAGCCAGAAAGCTGGCAAGATGGTCAGTTTCCTGACTTCTCATGCCCTTTTAATGAAGTTATGACAAACTGCTCAAGTGTCAATGCTGCATCCCTCCCAAGGCACATTAAAACAGAAGGGATGCCAGTCTGTTTAAACACCCTTACACAACTGCACATTTTTAACATGGGTCCGTGTGTTCCAATCCAGTAAAAATAAAACAGTCTTTCCCTGAAGGGCCAATGATAATAATATTACCATGAAGAAATTCAACACAGGCAATTTACATTGATGAAAACACTCCAGCCCCAAAGAACAAGAAGCTAATAGCTTCTCATTCCACAGTGGCCAAAAGCAATTCGTAAAAAATAAATTAGGCTTTGTCTCCATCCCTTGACTGAGGTACTTGGCACTAAATACATTAGCAGTGAAGGATGCTTCAGACTAGGAATTCTATAAGGTTCTACATGTAGATCTGTTCATAGGAAAGCCCTTTTGTAGGACTATACAGAGACCATGAAGGGAAGAACACCTATCAGCTACTTCCATTCTGTTCCATTCATGTTGCTTTAACACAATAAAAGCATCTCTGTAATTTTAATTTTCAAGTCCGCATATGTGTAGAAGACCATGCAGACTTATCTACTGCCCATAGCATTCCCCAGAAGATCAGTCCCAGAGAAGGAAGAACAGTGCTTCCATTCATCATTGTTATGGACATCCCAGACCCTGGGGAAAAAGTTAACTTCCTTCTCTATAAGACTGAGGAATGCAATCACTCTATTTTCTTATGTTATTATTAAGGGCCTGTCATTATGAACAGACAGCATACCTATCCACACAATACACAATCATTCTAAGCAAGGTGGAAAAGCTTTCTATTTTCTCCCAAGTTCTCTTCCTGACCTCTCTAAGCAATGTGGAACAGGACATGATCACCAGTGTTATACCTATACCTAGTTTCATAGAGAGGATCACATCTTTTCCTGCTACCAAGTATCCCCACTCAAAAAATTTGCGTATACACATAGATGATGTTATTTCAATCAAAACTATGCTTTTAGCACAAGCATCTCCCAGCCCATATCCTTCTATCCTCTTTCCTTAAATATTATTCTGATTTGATATACTTCACTTAACGTACTTTACGTGCTTGTACATGTGCACACTGAAATCGAGAAAGCTGCATGGAAACCACAATATGAGTGATATCACTCGATACATTTCCATTATTAATGGCAACAGATCTAACACCATAAACAACAGCTGAGGGAAAAAAGACTATTACATCAATGACTAACCTGAAGGTTGTTCTTTTACCAAACCATTCTTATTTCTTTCTTCCCAATCCATTACTTCTTTATATATTAATTCTTTATTTTAAAAAAGGGAGAGAAAAAGGAACATTATAACAGTACTTTCAACACTAAACTTTAGTTCAAACAGACTAACCCAAGATACGACTGTATCTTGATTGTCATTGTATGCTGCCATTGGGATAACTGTCTACAATGGTTAACAGAGCTATTTATGTATTGACATCAAGCCACAGCTGACTTATGGTGATCCCTTGGTGCTTTCGAGGCAAGAGACATTCAGTGGCAGTTTGCCATTGCCTGCCTCTGCACAGCAACCCTGGACTTCCTTGGCAGTCTCCCATCCAAATACTAATCAGGGCCGACCCTGCTTAGCTTCCAAGAGCTGACAAAACTGGGCTAGTGTGGGCTATCCAGGTCAGGCCTAAGAGGTTTTATTATATATAACTGAATAATAAGTTTTTATAGGCACTGCTAAGAATATCATTTCAGCGTTAATAAAGGAAAGACCAAGGCCAAATTGGAACATTAGTTCTAGCTGTGACACAGATTTCTTTCTTAAGATGTCTCTTATGATTGCTGTTCTCCAGCAACAATGTACAACTATCCAGCTTTCAATACTGGGGCCTGAAAGCTTCAGAAAGGAGCCTGAAGTTTCCCATAGCCACTTTGCCAGGCCCATTCTGTCAAATAGCCAGAAAAACTTCCATCTTAACTCAACCGTGAAAAATTGATAGGTAAATTTCAGATGAAAACTAGGAAGTATGTTAGAGACCAAATCATACACCTTTAGCGCTTGTTTTGTTGTCCCAGAGTAATCTTCTATTCATACACCAAGCCTAACATGAGAACACTAGGAAAAAAAGAGGCTGTTTACCGCTAACTGGTGTCCTTCCAAGTGGTCATCTTTGCAGTCAGACTACTGGGAACTTGCATGTGCTTGGAGAAATTTTCAGAAACTTCTATCAATAAGCCATACAGGCCTTTCAATGATAGCTCTACCCATCATGGGAGAAGGGCTCCACTGTGCGTATCCCAAGCAAGCACCTTTTTCAGAAACTTCTATCAATAAGCCATACAGGTCTTTCAATGATAGCGCTATCCATCATGGGAGAAGGGCTCCCAAGTAAGCACCTTCCCATGCTCAAGTTCCCAGTGGTGTGACAGTAGAGACCATGACAAAAACACCATACTGCAAGAAAAAAAATATGCAAGCCTTATCAAACGCAAACAAGGTACATTCAGTACAGTCATAACCTCAACTATCTTCTACTTGTTTATCAATCCAGTTTTCATGTGACTGGATATTTAAAGTATTGCTGCTTAGTGCAAGAAATACTGCTCTTATTATAATACCTTACTGGTTTCCTGAGAATTATATAATATAGTGTTCAGTAATTTATCAAGCAGAGTATGATACTGTGTCCTGATTTTTCTCAGCTATGCAATAATCTACCAGTCCTATTTATAGACCTGAGGAGAGACTGCTGCCATCAAAAGCAGAGCTGTTACCACCGATTCTGACCCCTCACCACCCAGTGGATTAGTCTGTTGATAACACTTATGTTGTCAAATAACCTAGGTTATTTACTTATTTACTTGTTTTATTTACTTCATTTATACCTTGCCTGCCTCACCCAATGGTGACCCTAAGTGGCTCACATTTTTCTCTTCTCCATTCTATCCTCATAACAACCTAGTGAGGCAGGTTAGGCTGAGAGTATATATTTTATTTTATTTTATTTATTTATTTGATTTTTATCCCGCCCTCCCGCTGAAGCGGCTCAGGGCGGCTTACAACAATAAAAATAATAAAACAATGCCTCTAAAACAATATACAATACATTAAAATCACAATTTACCCACATTATAACATACACATTATAAAATACACAAGACGGCGACTATAGATGCTGACATACTCAATCTAAGTTGTTGAATGCTTGGCGGAATAACTCCGTCTTCACTGCTCTCCGGAACTGGCGGAGACCCCGGAGAGCGCGGATCTCCTGAGGGAGCTGATTCCATAATGTTGGTGCTGCCAAAGAGAACGCCCTAGTTCTGGTAGATGTTAGTTTGGCATCCCTAGGGCCAGGGGGGACTAATCGATCCTGTGACTCAGATCTCAGTGCTCTTGGGGGAACATACGGGGAAAGGCGGTCCCGCAGGTAGGCAGGCCCCAGACCATAAAGGGCTTTAAAGGTCATAACCAGCACCGTGAAGCGTATCCGGAACACTATTGGCAGCCAGTGCAGCGCCCTCAGCACCGGCTGGATGTGCTCCCGCACAGGGGCACCCGCCAGCAGCCTGGCTGTGGCATTCTGCACCAGTTGCAGTTTCCGAAGTTGCCCCAAGGGCAGCCCCATGTAGAGAGCATTGCAGTAGTCCAATCTCGAGGTGACCATCGCGTGGATCACTGACGCCAGATCACTGCGTTCGAGGAAGGGGACCAACTGCCTAATCAGCCGTAGATGATAAAAGGCTGCCTTGGCAGTGCCTGCTACCTGGGCCTCCATTGTCAAGGAGGCATCCAGGAGCACTCCCAAACTCCTGACCCTCGGAGCTGGCACCAATGGCGCCCCACCGAAGGCCGGAAGTGGGAGCCCTACCTTCGTACCGCTCCGATTCAGGCATAGGACCTCCGTCGGATGTAGTTTCAGTCGACTCCATCCAAGCCAGTCCAAGCATCTCGACTCCGTCCAAGCCAGGCATATATAAATGGCCCAAGATCATCCTGTGACCTTCCACAGCAGAGTTAGGAGTCAAACCTGGGTTTCCCAGATCTTAATCCGACACTCTAACCACTGTACTACATTGGCTCAATTTGATAGTTTTACTGCTGTTTGACATTGTAGGTGGCTTTGAATGGGAAAAACCTGTTTACAAGTACACACATAAATGAAAAGTGTATAATAAATGTTGGCTACCTTTCCATTCTTCAATGGCATGTTCTCTTTCTTCCAACTGTGCATCATAGATCTGAGGCGGTGGCTACAGAAAACAAAGTTTACAATATAGTTTTTCCAGTTCAACATGAAGATAAGATTTTGTAGAGAGAGAAGAGCTGGAGAATATGGAAGAAACTAGAGGAGCATTCCTTTGGGAAGTTTGCCTGTGCAAATTCGAATGATATGAAGGGGAGCTTTGAAGGACCCGGTTCTTCCTTATCAGCTTTCCCTCTTTACTACATTTCTAGAATCATCATGTAACAATTTGCTTTTTAAAAAAATGCCATGATCAATTTTTAATGAAACCCATACTGAAAATGCCTTGGATCCAGCAGCGTGAAAATAGAAACATAAATGGACTTAATACAGTTCCACTCATCCAAGATCTCATGCAACAGCTACTGCTTTCCTCCCTTACATAATACAGTACCCAGAAAATTATTTACAAAAGGTCATACACAAGCACAAGCCACAAGTGGGGATACGGTAAGCCTGACTTAGTGCAAGTCTTTTGCAAGAGTTCTAGCACAAGTGGAATTGCTGCACTGGATCCACCCCAGTGTCTGATGTTTAAAAGCTTCATTTTTATTGCACTATCAACTAAATCTCTCTAAACACAAAGATAAACAGGTTGCTTACCAGTAACTGGTGATCTTCGAGTGGTCATCTGTGCATTCACACCAATGAGATCTAGTGCGCCTGCGCTGGATCTGCCGGTGCCTAGCAAGCTCTCTTAGAAGGATTTTCGTGCCTGGCCCAACTGAGCATGCCCAGGAGCCCCAGTGAGCATGCTCAGAAGGGCAGGCACGGACATCCCGCCAGTTCCTACCAACCGCCGCGCATCAATCTCCTAACAAATCACGTAGAAGAAGACAGCAGCGGGGCAGGAGGGCGGGTGGTGTGAATGCACAGATGACCACTCGAAGATCA